AGTTTAGCCTTGTGTGCATGTGATTATGGGGAGGGTGTGCGCACAAAAAGTATTGGATCGTCTGAGTTTGTGTCTGCAGCGTGCATGTATGTGTGCATGCATGCATGAGTCTGTGTGAAGGTCTAAGTGGAGCCCGTGCATACTTGTGTCTATGTGTGTGCGCATGTGGTTTTTGGCCAGGGCGAGTGCAGAGATTGGACTGCCAGGGAGAGCTGTCTGCAGGGAATCGGGCGAAGCAGAAGGCGAGCTGAATAACAGTACCTTTCTCTGACTAGAATGAGGTGTTTGGAGGTGAGTTTAGCTGAAGTGAGATGTACTAAAAATGCACTGAAGTATGGACCAAGTAAATCACTGCACGTCTGCATTCATCAAACGTATGGCAGATGTCACAAGTGTTAGGATTTCGAAGGAACAATGGGGCAGATGCAGGTCAAATATCTGTCTCTGAGGATTCGTGTAATTGATCGATTGATTCCTTGAGTGCTACTCTTAAAAACGACTCCCACCTTAAGCTGGAGCCAAAGTTAAACTTATCATAAATGTCTTCTAGCCAATACTATTTTAACTCCAAAACTGGCTCGCGACAGTCATTTTACAGTAAGTGCTAATCTCAGAATTTAAGTATGAGCCTCCCTCTGGACGACACTGCAGTTAACATCAAAACACAAAGCCAAACTTCACTAAATGTATCACATGTGTTGCCTTAAAGCCTGATTTTACACTTTTAAACTTTTAGGATTTTCTTTAACACTCTGATGACAAAGCAGCATTGTACATTTCCTTTATTTTACACCCTGAAAAGCTCTAAAGGCCTCAAAATGTGTCGATGTCAGCCATGTTTGAATTAAGGGACTTCACTACTCTCAGAAATCTGAGCACCTTGGATTTCCCTTTCTTTTTTGGATATCCCTGTAGGACCTCGAGTCCAAAGAGCAAATTTATTCACTCACTGTATTTTTAAATAACCTTATTACAGTTTTTCCGGTCAAAATGTTTGTTAAGCAAAAATATGCCCCAGTTTTCCTTTTATAGAGATGCAAGACTTGGGAGTCCATGGGCAGGCGAACTTCCCAGAGGCAAACAACAAGGTGCCTGGTGTCTGTCGTTTTTCTTTCTCTGTGTACATTTACTTTCTCGGCGGTAAAGCGGTCAAAAGAGTGGAAGTGCTGAAGTTCTGCAGCACAGGTTCAAAGCCGATCTTCTGTTTTCTTTAGTGCACTGTGAATTTGACAGCTTGAGATTAAAACTAAGAAGCATCTTCCTGTTCAGGCCACCCAGTCTGTGAGGTGAAATCCCTTCAGAGCAAACACTGTTGTAATTGACAGAGATGGTGCAGGGAGTGGCCAGGTGTTTGGCCGCAGAGCACACAGTAACTCTGGTTGGGCTCAAACAACAATTAGCAAATCTCTCTGCTTTGACTCAGCTGACAAGGTTAAATTAGCTGAATGGGTTTTAAAACAAAGAAATAAACAGTGATCAAACACTGGACCACTGGAAACCTGGGTCGTATTAGCTGCAAGACTGGCTGAAGCAGATCTGTCTTTGTTTAACTGCCACATTGGAGGGCAGGAGAAGAACTGGCACTGACTGATCAGCAGACAGCTAACAAACTACAGCCTATTCCCTTTTAACTCTCAAGCAACCAAGATACTAACCGACAAAGGCTGAAAGTCAAAATTTGTCAGTACGGTGACTTGTGAATGTGATGAGCACAAGGTTACCCCGAAAGAAGGCAACACACACTAAACTCTAGCCATACAAACACTTAAGGCCCGTTTCCACTGAAGAAGTTCCTGGTACTATTTGGGGGGCAGGAACTACTACAGGAACGTCCTCTCGTTCGGCCCTCTCAACCGCCGTGTCTCCACTGAGAGAGCGGAGTACGAGGAAGGTTCCTGTAAAGTTACAGGCTGCCTCTGGATTGACGTAATCGTTGCGCGACCATTTTTACCGGGGCGACGTAGGGACGCCGTTAGCCGATAGCGGTGTCTGTAATAACTCACTAAATGGCCCGTGAAAAAAATATTTTTTCCAGCGGATGTCTTAGTTACATGATTGAGCTAACTGGGGTAGTTTCATGTCGTATCCGACAACGGGAGGCTTTTAACAGATGACGTCCTGATGTTAGCTTTGCTGCTGCTGTTAGCTGTCCCTGTCAGCTGATGCTTTCTAGACATCGTGATTTCCCAAAACTGAATAAATACCACACATATCAACACAAAACTGCTTTTTAGCTCAATCATGTTGTAATAAGATATCCGCTGGAAAGAATATTTTTTTCACGGGCCATTTAGTGAGGTTTTTTTACATGGCAGCGAAAGCTATATGAACGAGCTAATCCTCATCAGCTGAGTTTTAAAAATGCCGGCTATTTTGTTGCTTTCTGTTGACGTCACATCTCTCCTTGAGTATATCCAGTCAGCACCAAGTAATCCCCAAGCCCCAGCCAGGAGTTTCTCGGGGCCGTTCTGAGTACCTACCCCGAGACAGGGACTTGTTTAGCCCCCGTAAAAGTTCCGGAACTCTGTCCTTCGGGGGTGGTTCCTGCAGTGGAGACACGCACCAACGGCCCCGGCCCCGTAAAATTACCCCGAAGTTCCTGCGGTGGAAATGGGCCTTTAGTGACTCCCCTGCACTGAACAAACTAGAGGTCGACGAAATTATTGGTTTGGCCAATTAATAGGCACCGAAAGGCTTTTTACAAACTATCATTATTGGCCGATCTTGCCTCTGATAGTGGCCGATGGCTGCAAAGGCTTTGACCTTGTCATGTCTTTTTTTAATGTTTAATGAATCGTTGTGAAAGTAGTAGTAGTAGTAAGTTTCTACCCACTAAAATATCTTGTTTAAAATTACAATTGCATTTTTTACAAGTTACAAACTATTCAAAAGTGCTTGAAATCTGTACTCTAAATACAAGTAACAGAAATACTGCCCATCTCTAACAGAGGCTCCTTTCATGAAGTTTAGGTAATGTCATTGTGTACCTGAGAATCTTAAGGTGCTTTCAGACCTAGAGTTGTCTTGCTTTGGTCCGAATCAGGGACTCAGGGATGCAGTTGGTGCAGATTGAGGTCGAAACACGTTCTCACCACAAACGCAGCACACCAGAGTTCATTTGTAACCTGGGACCGAGACCACCTCTTCAAGAAGGTCTCAGCCCGGTTGTTTTGGTGCGAACCTGAGTGCGATTGCTGTGTTCACACCTGCCCAAATGAACTGCACTCAGGGGGCAAATGGACTTGAGTTTGACTGAACCGAACCAAACAGGGCAGGTGTGAGAGCACCCTAATCACCTATTGTTTTTACATCAGCCACAAAATCCAATATCGGTCAACCTCTAGAGCAAACCAAAGCAATAACAACTTGAGCTTCCTCTGAGTTTAATACGCCAGACAAATTTCGCTCTGTTGTCAACATTTCAAGCAGCAGAAGAACATAACAGCCACAATTCCATGACAAAATGTTGAAGTATATTTGAGCAAAGGAAAAACACTTTGTACATTTAATTTGAATTATGTTATGCATAAATGAAACACCCACACACACGCTAAAGCATAATCACTACCACAGCTTGGCTTTCATACAGCACACTCATACATCACGAACCCATTGATCGGATGTGTCATTTCTATAAAATAAGAAAGCAAACCACCGACCAAACGATGACTCAAGACAGAAATACAAGTTCCAACACATGAATGAGAGTCTCCTCCTGTGCCCTTCACTGTATCATCTCTCTGAAGCATCACAGGCCAGCCTGGCTGATAAACAAGAGCATACACTGACCTTAAGTCACAGGATTTTTACCACTGGTGCGCAATGTGCAATGTTACACGGTGATGCAAGAGCACAGACCCCACATTTAAATCTTTCTTATGACTTTCTTGGTGCTTTAAAGTACAGCAGAGTGGCATGAACTTAGACCCACATGTGCTTAAAATAGGGAGACGTTTGCAAAAGAGCAAACAGTTGGGCTAATTTTGAGCAAATGAGCTCACAGCCTTGTCTCTCAGCCTCCTTGTACCACCAACCTTCCCTCTCCTACTCCCGAGATGCCCTCAGGCTTCGTCTTTCTGCTTGGTCTGTTTGCATTCCTGTCGAGCTCTATTTAAAGGCTTGAACACTCCACTGGCTGGAGGAATGCACATCTGTAACAAGCCCCTGATCCCACTGTCTCTGCCTCTCTCTCCCAGTCCGTCTGCGAGTACAGTGTTTGTTTCTAATTGTGGACTCGGTGCATTAGCCTTTACGGCTGCCCCCGGAACTGTAACTGTGTGTACATAAATATACAAAAAAAGAAAGAGCAAGGGGTGAAGAGTGATGTTGTTTATTAAATCAACAAGTGCTTTTGGGTGACTCACGATTCCAACGCTTCATCTGCACAGTGCCAAGTGTGTTTCTGTGCTAGTGTCTGGGAGCTAGGGGCAAAACAAGTCAATGAAAACCAGTGCAAAGGTGGCCAATGCAGTTACTGGCCCTGTAAAATATGATAACATATAGTGTTGCATGCACATAAACACACACCTCACAAACCACAGTTGACACCATCAAATTAAAAGGCATCATTAATTAAATCTAGCAATAAAATGCATTAATTAATATTATCTCATATTTAGCTGCTGCTTCCCTCCAGCAAAGGGTCTACATTACAGTGAAAAAAAAAAGTCCACTTTATGTGACAATTATCACACCTAAAATGACAATAAAGCCATTATTTTTTGTGACATTGTTGGAGGGATAATTGTGAGTCATATTATTAAAAAGACATGTTATATAGGAAGTGTTTGGGGTGCCACACAAGCTAAAGAGGCACCAACATGTAAGCTAGCGGCGTGACACATCCCCACTGTGAATAACACTGGAGTAAAATGCCCTGTGTTCCCTCCCGTCCCGTGTAGTGAGGCGGATAAACTTTTCGCCCCCCACACACGCAGCGTCCTACCCGCCACTTCCCTCCTCCTGCCCGGTGAAACCAGTTTAAAAACACCGACACCTACCTTGGTAAATCTCCCCGAGTCAAGCAGGCATTATTATGTTGTCGCCTTCCATAGTTGGGACTTTGTCGAGTTGTTCTTCGGCTCCCTCGGACGGACTAGCGGAGCACAGGAGCGAGTCTGAGGAGGCGGAGGAGGGGAAGGAGGAGGCCAGACCGGTCTCCCGCCGCGTCATTGGAGGAGCCGCCTGTCAATCACCTGGCGGGGTGGGCGGGGCCTAACTGTAAGGGGATTATGGAGGCTGAGCTATCAGCACTGATCCCAGGTCTGAGGGCTGAGGAATGTGGCGTGGGGAAAACAGACAGGTCTCCTGCAGCAGGAGCAGGAGCACTTTTTACACTTGCAGCACTTTTAATGTGGAATTTTGCAAAGTGGTTGGTAGTGCTGCAAGCTGCAAACTTAATAAAAAACTTACTCCTGTTACTTGGGAAAATAGCAGAAGACACCGATAAGAAAGATTCTCACCTGTTTTTAATCAACAGGGTAGCAATGATTAAACATTTACAAGGAACTGGTTAAAAGATATTAAAAAATATATTTTTGGCAGATATATAGACAAGGAAAGGTTGTGTCAGGGCAGTGCATATTTACTTGGACTGTATAAACCGGGGTTATTGCTTATTTATTTACTTGGGTGGCAAATAGCCTGGGGATAGTTGTATATTAGTTGGAAATAAATCTGGGAATTTGTTGAAATAATATACGAGTTAAAAGAAAAAATGTTAAGACAGGGGTAGGGACGTATAAGTTTTACTTCTACTTTTATTTTTGTTGTTTCGCAATAAAGTCATTCATTCATTCAAATGGAAACATCTTGTGAAGATTTACGACAAAGAAAAAATCAGCATGAGAGTTAGAAATCAAGTGCATATTTTTAAAGACAAGTGGGAAAAATGGCTGATATATATAAAAGACGATGTTCCCAGTGATCTTTGGTTATATGGCAGCTGAAGTAGTGAGATTAGTAGCACAGAAGTGTTTTCTTGTTCTGTATCGTTCACATAAATATGTATGTATGGTAACTATGTGTCCATGTTTGGGTACACACACATTCATGGGTGCGAGCATGTATGATTAGGCATGTGGGTGTCATGTGTGTTGATATCTGTGTGTACCTAGTTGTTATGTAATGTATCATCTAACTTAAAATTATATACGGGTTTATTTAACTACATCCTATGACATAATGTATAAGTAATTTCCTTTTTTTTTAATTTTTAAATCCCTTGATTTGTTATCATTATATTATTTTTGCTTATTTCCTGAAATTGCTAACACTTTTGTTTGTTTATGTTTTATGTATGTATTTATGTATTTTCTTTTTTGCCTTTTAAGTTATCTTTTTCTGTCTCTACATGTGTTAAATAATCCCCAAAAATTAACTTAAAGTAAATCAAATCAAATCAAATCAAATTAAATTAAATTAAATTAAATTAATTTAATTTAATTTAATTTAATTTAATTTAATTTAAATTAAATTAAATCAAATTAAATCAAATCAATAATAAGTAATGCAGCAGCCCAATTGCCCAAATGTTAGCATTGTATGTTTCTGCATACGTTACATTTGCCCTCTTTATACACATCATATCAGTGTTTCCAAAGTGACATAATAGGCCTGAGATGGTGGATGGCATGTCACATACACCTGCCAAGCTGCAGACCATTGTTCGAGAACAACAAACAACAAAACCAGTTGTGACTTAGCGAGTCATTGCTGTGTTTCTAGTGGCTTTTCAACCCTGTTACATGGGTGTTTTTAGGGACCCATTGCTGTGTTTCCTGGGGCCCTAAGCACTTGTGTTTTTTGGCAATCTGTGGCTGTTTTCCAGCAGCTTTTTAACCCAAAAATGTGGGTGTTTCTTTGCAATCCATGGCTGTTTTTCTAGCCGGGATAGCGCCATGAAAAGTGACTGATTTCTACAGAGACATTGCAACTGTGCTCCCTAAACCCATATTTTAATCCAAAACATTATATTTTCTGAACCAAAACCAGTTTGTTTTTGTGCCTAAACTGGCCACACATTTTAATTATTGTTGAATGTTAAGTTTCAGTGTACCTGCTACACAGTAACATACAAATGTAATGTATCTGTGGTTTGCAGAAATGTACAATGCCAACATTTTTGAATACAGCTCTAGGTAATAGTGGAATAAATGTGCTTAATGACCAAACTATGAACGCAGTTCTTCTAAAAAGAAAGTAAATAACAAAATAAAATAAAATATAGCCAATGACTGAAATATTACTTGACTCTTACTTTTGTATGTTTTTTTTATTTCAATTAATAATTTATTTTGATTTATGAATGTAATCCTTTTTTTTTTAATTTTTTTTGGATAAAGCTTATTTTCAAATAATCCAACTACTGTTTTTATGATGAGTTTTCTGCCTTAGTTTGAAGAGGAAAGGAAAAAATGGTTACAAAAAATAAATAAAATAAAATAAAATAAAAATAAAAATTGGTCAGATTAACACATTAAGATAAATTTATTGCTAATATGTAGTTTCCCTCAACAGGCTCATTACAGTTAAATCACTGTTGGCTGTCAAGTAGCTTACTATGTTCACAACAACAAGCTTTTCTAGGTGCTACTCAGTGATCCAGCTAAACTCTTTATTCCCATTTCATGTGACAGGAACTTGATTTATTTATTTGTTATGTAGCGTACCTGTTATGTGATGACTACAGAAAAACATTAAACCCATTAATGGCTCCAGCACTCTTCGCTCTAGCTGACAATAAATTGGGTGACAGGAACAACTCATTATCCAAAGCACTGACCTTTCATTCCCATGAATGTAAATGGAGGTGGAAAAACAAATCTGTCAGTGCAACACAGTGCGATGCAGCATGAGAGCCTCAATATTACTGTGGGGTAGAATCAACACCTTGCTGATGCAGTGTCAAAAGACAGTGAGGAGTTTTGGTTTCACAAAGATTTATAAATGTAGGCAATGCATGGTCATATAAGCAACAGATATTTTACACACTGCATATGTAGCAGATATGTAGAAACTTTACATTTCGTCATGTTTTGATTTTCAGCTTTATGAAACAACGCTGGGGTTAAAGTGACAGTTCGGACTTTTTGGAGCGGGTTTGTATGGAGTACTTATCCATAGTCAATTAATTATATACAGTAAATGGCGGTCAGCATGCCCCCAGTTTGGAGAAGCAGACTGCAGTCTGACATGGAAGCTAAGCAATGTAGTGCTGTGGATGTGGGCAGCAACATAACATATTTTACTTGCCAAAAAAAGTCCCATCAAAAAAATATCTATCAGTTTACATGTATGCTGTATTGAGATTACTTTTCCCTCAGAAAGCCCATTTCAACGGGGAAGTCATTAACAGCTTCAGATCCCCATCGATGTCCTCGTCAAAACCACCAAACTCCATTGAGAAAAACACTCATTTTTAGCTCGCTGAATACTGGGGCTGCTGGTCCACTGCTGCTTCAATCAGTTCGTTAGTTTGTGTTATTGCGCAGCATTCGTAAATCCCAGCTTACCACTTTTAAACACCGAAGTCACACAATAAAACAAACTATCTAAATGTTTAAGGCAGCAGTGGACCAGCAGCTCCTGTTTTCAGTGATGTTAAATCACTGTTTTTCTCAGTGGAGTCTGGCTTTGAATAATGGCTTCATTTTCCTGTTGGAAATCACTGTCTGACCTTCGGGTGAAGCAGTGAAAATACTCTAAACATAGCCTACACTATTTTTAGGTGGCTAAAATACATTTTGTTGCTGGCCCCTCCTCAGCAGTAGATTACTTTGCTTTCATGTCAGATTCCAGCTTTCTCCTCTAAACTGGGTGTGCGCTGACTGACATCTACTGTTTGTGATATACTGTCTGTGGGTAAGTACCCCATACAACCCCACTTAAAAAAATCTGAAATATCCCTTTAATGTGTGGCACAAAAACCACTTGTTTAGGGTTAGGAAAACATTATGTCTGGCTTAGAATACCCTCAATCCACCCTTGATCGCTGCAAATATGGCTGGAAATGTCCCAAACTCTCATTAAAAAAGACTCGGTTTGGTCGCTACAAATGTTGTGTGACATGTCCTGAATGCTTGTTAAAAACACACGCTTTTGTTGCTATAAATATGGCTGGAAATGTCCCAAATTCTCATTAAAGAACACTTACTTTGTTGTGTCTGGATGGTGGTCTACTGCTGTCTATATGTATGAAATCTGTGGTTAGCAGGAATGACAATGCCAACATTTTATTCTAAAATATAACTCTAAACTTAGACTAGATTTTTCTTCATGTTAGTAACCTCAGAGAGCAGTTAGAATATCACACAGTAGCCGATGCTATCTGCTCCATTTTAGGCTGTTTACTTGTGAAGTAACTTCAACCTTTGGCCTGGATAGACTGGACAAAAACAATGTGAAAGAAACGTGTGGCAGTTGGTGTCCAGCCCGCTCATCAGGCATACAACACTGACATCAATTATTCCTTTGAAAAGGGGGATTTCCAATTTGTGCAAAATGAAGCCGCCCCCTTTATTGACCCTGACCTGACAGTCGCAGCTTGGATGAGTTACAGTACAGTGCGTCTCATTGGGAGCAGTGAACTCCAGCCAGGCGGAGAAATAATTTTGCTGCTCATCTCCCTCCATGTTGGTGTCTCAGTCTGTGTCAGTTTTTATGACTCCTCGTCCATCTGCAGGGTTCTTTTCTTCCAGTCTGGCACTGCGTCTATCTGCCTGCCCATCTGCCTGGTCGTATGAGCAAATGTACCTGTCAGTGTGATCCCATCTGCCCATCCTTTGTCTCACCTATCTTTATCTAAACTTCCTCTGTCAGAGCTGTCATCATTTAGCTATCTCTGTTTATGCATCTTTAACTTATCTTAGATTGATCAGTGCCGCTGCTTAAAACCTGAGCTTTTGCAGCTGAAAGACACAGTGAGGCTTTGTAGTTGAATTTTATTGTATTCAAGCTTGTCAAACCCAGCTGTTAGTGCATTCCCAGACTATGAAAATACAGTGATGTAGTATCATCAACCACCTGTTGCACTATGGGATACAGTGCTGCTTCCCCCTTCTGGGCATTCTGACTCATTACATACTGAAATCAAAACTGTTTGCCCACGCTATAATAGTATATGCACACCAGAAATGTCAGGAAAACCTTTGTGCTTTAGTCTAATTGCATGAGAGTTTAATTTAATGTGAATTTAAATTTTGCCCCTTACCTTAAGGGAAATATATGTGATTATGTTTACTTAATGAGACATATCTAAGGCCCTGTTTAGACCTGGTATTATAAAGCATTTTGGGGTGATCTGATGTATTGTGATCCAATCTCTCTGACAACTTGCCGAGATGGTCTTGGACGCATTTGACCACATATCTTTTGTAGTGTAAACACTAATGCGTTTTGATACATCCCCAACAAGGACTACTGGGCCTTTTCAACTGGTGCTAAGTAAAATCATGCCGTGCCGATTTGCATTTCCATCATCCGTTAAGATGTGACATGCCACGCCGAGCTGTGCCACAGATGGACCTTCTCCAGAGTTGGTCCAAAAGCTGGGCCGTCCGCTCTCAAGCGGGGAGCAGTGACGTCTCACCGACTGCAGCCAACCCTTGATGACCGTGCTCTCTCCCTCTCAAACAAGCCGTAGACCTAAGAGAAAGTCTTTGTGTGTAGCTTCTAACTGAATCTCTGTGGTTTGGAGGTTAGTTTCTCTACCGCGTCCTGTTTTTACTTTAGATATCGGCTTTATTTTACTGTTTCATGTTCGCTGTCAGCTGTATTAGAAGTTGTGTGAAGATGCTGCTTGAAAAACCCAACATTTACTTATTTTGCTGCTTCAAAATAACAGCTTTTACATAAAAAAATATTGGGGACTTTCACTGTGAAGAATCTGGAGGAAATGAAATGTGATTATCACCGAATTAGTGGAACTTTGTCCACAGCTTTTCGTCATTAAAGATGAGTCTAATAATACAGCAGGGAGGAAAGTAGAAGAAACAGCCACAGTGAGATGTTGATGAAGAGCTGCAGACTCCAGGCTCTTACTGCACCTCTGCAAACAGCTCACCTCCAACACGTAAACTTCTTTCTCCTGGCCTGCTGTGGAAAACGCATGAAATGTAAATCCATGCTGTGCTGGGCTGATGACCCGAACCAAACAGCCTGTGACTGTCGAAAAGGGGTATATGTCATCAGTGCAGGACGTGGTGGTTATTTTGGTAGCAGTGCACTAATGCTGTATACCCATTTTATGTCAAGTTGGACGAAGTGTTCCATGACCGTCTATTGTTTTGCCCTATGGAAGGAGACAGCGATATCTCCAGCTGTACTGACCGCACAACCGCTAACCGCTACCTAACAAGCATGCTACAGAGCAGCTAGTAAAAGTGTGGGCGTAATAACTGTGTGCGAGGCAGTGACGAAATCTAAACACAAATGTAAACAGCAATGTGCCTCGGCTGTCCACATGTAATCAAGTCACCCAAGATGCATGTTCATACCAGGTCTGAACAGGGCCTAAGTGCATGTGGTTTTTGCTGCTTGGAAGTGTTTACTGATAACAATAACTGCCTTTTTATTTACATTTTTAATGCTATACTAACAAACTAGCAGCTCCAACGACTTGCATGGATAAGTCTTGCTTTAGTGTGACAAAATGTACTGGAAGTAAGTAACAGCCTGGATCTGGAACGCCATCTATTAGAAAAAAAGAATCACTTATTTCTTTCTGAGTGTTCCTTAAGATCTGTTGTAAGGTTTTAATTGTGCCAACTAACAGACAAAAAAACAATTATTCATGCTACCAACAACGCCCACGGTCAGGACTTAAAACTGAGAGCTGAGAGAGTGGAAAGTTTCGTTCATTCAAACCACTACCATGTGCAAAAAAACTACTGACTGCTACTGTTTCTAACACTGTATGTATCAGTCATATGACTGTGGAGGAGCTGCTCACAGTAACAGACCCACACAGGATTCTCACCTAAATCTGCAGTTGTACAGAGCTTTTTAGCCTCTTTTAGCTCATTGTCTTGGTTTGTTTCACTCACACCACTCTTAGTAACATCACCTCCAGCAGCAGCAGGAAGTTGTTATCAAGCCATACGCTCCAATAAACCAAATGTACCATAGGTGTAGATTTCAGGAGTATGAAATCAGTCATTCACACCATACCCTGATGCAGAAAAGGCGCAAATTGCTGCATGAAAAAACATCAGAATGCAAGAAATTAGGTGTTTGGCGGTCAAAATTTTATAGTGGAGGACACCCAAACTCATTATTATGTTACCCACTATATTGAAACAACCTACACCCTTGAAATGTGCACTGCCTTTTCAGCATCAGACAGCAGACAGAAAATGTTAGCGACCAGCTGGTGGAGAAAGTGGAACATTGGGGTATCCTTGTTTTTGGCCATGTTATGCTTTTTTATTAGATAGTGACAGTAGAGTGGTGACAGGAAACAAGTAGAGAGAGGGCATCCCTGGCATATATTGATCTAATTCTGGGGTTGGCAACCTTTACTATCAGAGGAGCCTTGAAAATCGAATTTAGCCTATCAACATTACAAATAGATCTAATTGAGCACTCATTAATATGTTTAAGCACAGGGTGGCTATTCTGCAGTGGGCTATTTTTCATTATTTGGTATTTTAACTTTGCAGCATTGCTGATGAAAGCAAATAAATTTGTCCTTGCACTATTGAATTCTCTATTTTCCCCTGAGACTTTTCCCTTTTTGGATTTGGAATCCACAGCTAGCCTAGCGAGGAAGACCCTAGTCTCGCGTGACCAGCCTCCCTTACTTCGGAATGGGAGTCTGTGGGCATTCGTCTTTCGTTTTGTAATAGAAATGGGCGGGGATATCCAGACCATGTGACACCGTTGCCATAGGTAAGGCATGTCTGTTACATGTAACAGAGACGTTGCAGCTCTGCAATATAGCTGAATCAAATGAAATCATATCAATTTAAATCTCTTCTTGCGATGCACTGAACACTTTCTTTTCTGGTGTACTACAGACAACAATTCGGGGAACAGCAATTCCGGTGTAGGCAGGCGTAAGGCAAAGCTAATCAGCTGTTGGTCGAGGAAGTACACGGATTTGGATCCAATCACATCACTGCCGCTGGGAGCCAGCGCTAGTTCTATTACAACTTTCCTTTGGGAATGTCCACAGATGACCGAGTCAGCCAGCATGCGGACATCATCGGCATCTGTGTAAGAGACTAGGAAGATGCAAGACTACTGTAGCAATCACTAGCAATGTTTATAGAGGAAAAGGCGCCAGGCCAGATGTATGACGCACATTTTAGTTTACGAAATGTTAAAACGTTTTTTAAAAAATTCGTACACAAGCTATTTTTAGCCTACAACAATAAATGGAAATTAAAATGTTAAAAAATAAGAATGGTTATTTATCTCCATTTAATTCCTGTCAAAGCCACAGGGAGCCACTGGGAGGGGCTAAAGAGCCACATGTGGAGCCGCAGGTTGCCCACCCCTGATCGAAGTGGTTGGTGGAGACCAGAGCATGTGAGCGGAGTGGAGCTGAGCGGGGAGCAGAAGGATTTTGTGTTGAGCGAGGGGCGGCTATTTTTTTTTTTTTTTTTTTTTTTTAAAGGTGGAGCGGAGCCTTATCTCTCGCTCCAAATTCGCTCCAGTCGCTCATGCCCCACCCAGAATGCATCTTTGCACCTGCGCACACCCACACTGTTTTCTTTCAAAACTATGGAGTTTACTGTGTACTTCAGAAAAGAAACTGAGAAGAGAAGCAGCGGTACCTTGGAGAACGGTCCCTAACTGCAGGGAGAGGGCATCCCCAGAGAATCTACCAAGCTCATGTTTTATTTGTGAATAGAAGATTACAGGTTAGGGTAGTAAGACGCAGTTTTTTTGAGCGGAGTGGTGAGCGAGTGGAGCAGGATAAAATTTGCAGCGGAACCAAGTGGAGTGGACGAGCGGTGCAAATTGACAGGTCTGCGAGCGAGGAGCGGAAATTTTCACCTACTCCTCTCCGCTCACATGCTCTGGTGGAGACCAAAACAGAGCTAAAGGGAGAATTAAAATTGGACTTAAGTTTGTGTGTGCTGCATGTATAAATAGACAATTGCTGCAGAATGTGATAATTTCACAAGGCAATAATATGTCAGGGCTTTTGGGCTGTTGGTTTGTTGTGGAGGCATCCTGCCCTCTAGTGGCACACACTTTTTCCCCCTTGTGATTTGGACTTAAAAGTATGGGATGTCCCTCTCTGGTTTACTGGCATACTGACATTAACCATCACTCTGTTTAAAAGCTAAGTGAGAGGCATCCTAAAATCACCCTTCCTCTCTGTCAGCCACATCTTTAAACACGAGCACATTAATTCCACTCAGTTCCACTTGCTGATGCTTGTGTATTTATTCACTGCCATCTGAATGGTTAATGGCTGTATCACATGATAACCTATGTTCCAGACAGGATGTTGATGTACCTAGAAGTGGTGCGTAACGTGTGCTATAGTTTGCACAGTGACTCACTGACTGCCAGCAGGAGTAACTCTTATAAAGAAACCAACAATATGTGCATGCTCACATTCACGTATACACACACACACAGCACGCTGGCAGACTACACACCCACATGACTACACACAAAGAGCACCAGCGCACACACACACACACAATGGCACACATCTGACACCCATCCCCACCTTCCCTGTGTCATACACACTCTGTCACACACACACAAAAGCCGCTGATGGTTGTTAAATCCCAGCATGACGTCATTGCCAAGCAGTGGTGGGTGTGGTCTTCACTGGCTTGTTCAACATACCAGAGCTTAAATGCTGAACAGCCGCTGCCACTCACCGACACCCCCCTCCTCCCTCTTTCTCTCCTCCTTACTCACATTATTTCCCTCAGTCTGGCTCACTGGTCCTCGGCAGCCACTGAGTGAAGTCCTGTTTTCTTTTCATTATCAGAAAGGTAAAGAGCTGTGATGTTTCTCCTCTTGTAGCCTTTTCTAAAGCTGTCATTTTTGCACTTTCTGGCTCTGTTACAGTCATTTGAATTGACCTTTTTGTCATAACAATCTACAGTTTATCTCCCTTTTCTTCTGCTTTCTCTGTGGATCCAAACACCAACAGTTTGCTGCCAACACTGAGGGACACCTCCAGTTGGTTGTAAAGTGGTCCAGCTGAAGTTATCCATCTTGCTCATCTGACATCTTCTTGTGGAGATCCGTCTTCCACTCATCTTCCCCTTGTTAAGGAGCACAGCAGAGTTTGGTGGAGGTTGATAAGCGAAGATGTCTCTCCCGTTGGCCGTGGTGATATGTCTGTCAGTGATCCAGCTGGGTATGGGAGATCAGCCTGTGGAGGAAGTCGTCACAACAAGTAAGTAGTGATAGGGATGAGATAAAACAGCAAGACAGAGAATGATCCACTGTTTGTTTCTGAATAATTTTCTTGAGAATAGAGGTTTGTGACTTGATATCACTTTCAAAAAGTGGTGACAAAATGATAACTGAGACATAAAACAACAAGAGACAGACTCATGACTAATGCTGTTTGCTTAATTCAATGAGCTGATGCACAAAATGCAAAGGATCAGTATCTTTAAAGCCTCACAATTACTCATAATATCGTCCTGGTGTCATCATTTATACTGGTTACACTTCATATTTATACCTCTATTCTTGTGATCCACATGGGTCTTACATGGGTGACCTTTATTAATGTGAAGATGCCAAACGCCCCATAGAGATAAAATGCTAAAAACATGAAAAACATGAACGTGCACACTTAAACTTTGACACTTTCTGCTTGCACATAACCTTCTCTCGTCCTTGTAGTTTAATATAACACTATTTTAAATCAGTTGCATGCACAACCCTTCACAAAATAGTCCTGATTGATGAGTGTCCCAACAAGCACTGATGCGGATAAAGCTCAATAGAATTAAAGCCATATCAGGTCAGGTGAAGCATAAATATAACTGTCATTCAATATTTGACATGCGAAGCAATGTGTGTCGAGATTGTGTACACGATTAGGCGCAGTTTGAGAAGAGTAAACAAAATACAGCCTGTGTGCACGCTTTTTTGTATGGCTAGAAAGGGGAGGTTATGTATGAGTTGATTGAAAGGACAATACAGCAATACAACAATGGCATCAGAATCAGGACCAACAGTCTAGAAACAAGCCAAACAAAACATTTGTAACCCCATTTAACTTTGTGCGTTCGTATGCTGTTTATGATACAATGAGATGAAACAAATGAGCATTTTACAGAGGCAGTGTAAAAAAAATATAAACATAATAACAGCAAAATTAGGCGAGAAAGATGTACGCCCATTTGACCACTGAGACAAACAGGAAAAGCACAATTACCTTAACTACAGAAAATAGTAGTGATTAAACTCTCGTATGAGCAGATTGCATCAGCTATCAAAGGTGTCATTCTTTTAAAATAAAATGATTCAAGTGATTGATTTCTATCAAGATTTATTTCAAACCACTAAAAGAAACTGCACAGTGTGTGCCTGTTGTGCTCTCATGTACTCAGTCTGCAGACAGTGACTCTGTGCTGCTGTCTGGTTGGGTAGAGTGAGTCAGAAGCTTTGGCTCAGCTGGCAGTTGGAGAACGTCGTCATTTGTCAGATGCTGTTTAATTTGGCAGAATGGAGTTTGGTTTGGACGTGTTAAAGAATGAAAAATAATCCATCAGGGCCACTCAGTACAATTCACCTAATTTGGCCAACATCAGTGGCTTCTGTTGGTGAAATGGTTTTACTGAGCTGAGAAACTTTCCGGTTGGTTCAGATTTGTACATAATTAAGGCTGCAAATGCTCAAGGCTCAAGTGTGTTGATATCTGATTTCTGATACCCAGCTGCAACGTTGGGTGTAGTCTGTTGCACCTCTGAACACACCCCAGCTTCTATGTATTGTTGGATTACATTACATAATGAACTTGACAGGGTCGGGATTGGACACGTCGCAGCTGTCAGGTGGCAGTAAAAACAGGATTTTCAACCAAGGCTAAGTCACTACGTGGAAAACACATAGTCATAACATTAATCTGGATAATGAGCACAGTGACGTCAGCATGCCAACATGATCACAATGGTAATGCAAAATTGTTTATGTTTAGCAGGTATAAGCATGTTAGCATGCTAACCTTTGCTAATTAACCACAAACGTCAACCTCCTGGTCATGCCAGAGGAAAATCTGGGGACCAAAGTTGGTTCAATATATCGTCTGGGAACCAAGAATGTCCGAACAAAACTATTTGCCAGTCCTTTCACTGAAGTTGATGGAGATGTTTTGATGTATAAGGGAAAACTTTGACCTGCCGATGGTGCTAGATAAACAGTCAGGTGACCACTATAATGCCTTAAGGATTCATCCTCAATGCACCATGAATGTCTGTACCAAATTTCAAGGCAATTTATAGAATTATTGTCAAGTCATTAAGAAAAAAAATCTCATAGTTGCGCCAGAGGAAGAGTCAGTAGATCTATCGTCTGTGGATCATTAATGTCTGTGCAAAATTTCAAGGCAATCCATCCAATAATTAGATATAGATATCGCAACACGTTCTCATCCCAAGTCATAATCTATTGCTGCTTTGTCAGTTGACTTTCACGTCTACTTGCTAGGTATCCTCCCGTGTCTGCTGTTGACCTTCTGGGATGCAGCTACCAATGGCGCGACGTCAACAAAATGGTTAGGTTTAGAACACCAGGCTCCCAGGTGAAAGTCCGGGATTTGTTGGACCCATGCACCACCCTTCCCGCCTGCCCTATAGGGACTTTCCAGCTCCTTTCATTACATTGTTACCAGCAGCGTTTCTAACTGACGCCATGCTGTGGCATATCATAACGCTGCGACAGGTGCTGTCTGGCCAATCGGTGGTGTATCATTACACTGCAAAAGGTTCTGTCCAGCTGCGTTACAAACTGACACCACCTGGAGCTTATCACACCACCGAAAAGGTGGTTCTTGGCGTTGGTGTCTGATGCCGAATTCACTAACAAAGCAGCGGTATTTGATACTTCAGAATGAGAATGGGCTGGATATTTCAGTCTGTGTGAAAATGGTTGCTTCATCCACCGACACTGTCATGCCTAGAGCTATGCCACTATTGCTGTGTCTGAAAACTGTGCAAAACAAAAACAAAACCAACATCATTTTGATTGCCTGTGTCACCCAAGGTACAAGAGCTGCATCCATTATCTCTAAGTTCCTCTTCTTTTTCCTTGAGAAAACCTACTTTATATTCTTGGCCTGATGATTGAGGTTTGGTTTGGCAGAGTGGTGAAGATGGTTTTGGCAGGGTAAAACAAGTCTTGCTGAATCCAATATTTGGCGGTCTTAAAGTTTCCAAATCCTTGACTAATGTTCTGGACTGAAACAGCAAATTATAGAGTGTCCTTTTGATAATCTACATCTTTATCTGTATGAGTGAGTGCATTTCATTGCATAATGCTGTGCCACTTTAAAGGAAGACTTCACCCCAAAATGACCATTTGTATAGCAGTTACTCAAACGTTCTTGCATGTGTCCATGTTGAATGAAGGATCCAATAACAGAGATAATGCTTAATGAATTGAAGTCATAGGGGTCCACGTTCAACAACAACAAAAACATACACACCATGTCAAGTTCTACCTGTTAAATGCATTGTCTTCTTTCAAAATACACTTATGTTTTCATAGGAAATTTACCGTTTACATACAGTCTATTTTGACATAAACTCACTACGTCAGTACAACAACGCAAATTACCTTTTTTTCCTCTCCCACACACGTGGTTGGGTTTAGGCAACAACAACACATGGTTAGATTTGGGAAAAACACTTTGGTGAGTCCACACTAACCTTTTAAAACACCAAAATCAAACAATAACACAACCTAGGCAGTGGCTCCCCTGTTCAGCGAGATAAAATGACTGTTTTTGTCAACTGACCCTGACTCCGAAGAGCGCAGATACATTTTCGTTCACTTTTAAGTGCTAAGGTGTTAACAAAATTGTGAAGTACTTAGGGAATGGGAAGTACTTGGCATTTGAATGGATAAATGGCACTTGGATTATGCTGCACAAGTTCTGCGTAAGTGTGTAAACAGATGTTTTGATATAGTTTGCTGTTGTTAAACATGGACCCCAATGACTTCAATTCATTAGGAATTTTCTCAGTTTTTGTATTCTTTGCTGACCAGCGGCATATGAGAAAAGTAAAGTTTTCTTGACGAAGTCAATGTAACATGGGGTCAGTTATTGATATACAAATAGTCATTTGAGGGATGAAGTATTCCTTTAATAGTCTGTTATTTTGCTGAGAACATAAGGTACATGTCACTTACTTATCATCCCATTAATAGCCATCATCATGAGATTTCCCTTTCGTGTGTGTTTTAATTTCCACATAGAAAAAGTGCCTCTTCTGGGTGACTGGAGTGAAAGGAGTCCAGATTCAGCTGAGATCCAGGAGGCAGCCCAACATGCTGTGACGATCTTCAACGCAAACACCAAGAGCAAGAAGATGTTCAAACTGGTCTCCGTCGTCTCCGCTCATTCACAGGTTAGATTTACCTTTCGGAAGCAGAGGTACTCACATGCAACACATCATGTCACCATGTAACCATCTGTCCTGTGTCCACTCGTATTATTAGGTGACCAATGTAATCAACTTTAAGATTGATGCGATCCTGGGAAAAACCAAGTGTCAGAGGTCTGAGAACCCCGACCTGAACAGCTGCAGTCTTGAGAAAAAGGTACATTGTCTACTACAGACCTATTGCCTTCTAAAGAAAGCTAGATTTTGGTGATTTCCTGTGTAACAGTTATTGTTGTTTCTCTCTCTGCAGCGCTTGAAGTGCCACTTTGTGATGACTTTCGACCCCCGCAACAACAAACACGAGATGCACAAACACAAGTGCAAGAAAATTACGGAAACGGCCTAACTTTTTAATAGGCCTAACTTTTTTATAGATTGGCTCTATAGCTTTGACTACCTTATTACATTTTGATATGTTTTTTCTCTGAATAAATGTTTTGCAGCTGATTTTAAATGCTGGATGTGTACTTTTGGAGAGCATGAACAACTTGCAACATTGACACATCACAATCTCAATAAAATTTGTCCGAAAAGGACTGACTTTTGTTACCATAATGTGGAGATTCTTTGTGGTTTGTTGCCTGGCGTTACTTTTTTTAACAATTATGTTTTGTCCAAAAGAACAATTGATATGGTATGCATGAAATGATTTCTTACTTAAGAGATTAAATCAGAATCTGAAATACTTTATTGATCCCTGAGGGGAAACTGTAATTTGTTACACTCACTCTGATGTAAAGAGTAGAGAATTATAAGAAGTAAGAATAAGAGTCTGAAATAGAAGTGTGTCAATAAAAATCAATAGAATAAAATACAATAAAAAAATATAAATAAAAATTAAATTGAATTAAATTAAATCCAGTTAAATTAAATTGAATTGAATTCAATTGAAATGAAAATGTACATAAAAAATAGAATGTACATTGTTCTACAGTGTTTAACACTGGTGCTTAAGATATAACACTTTTAATAAAAAATATATATATATTGTCACTGCTGAGGCTGTAAGTGTGAAATTTAACTACAATACATACACCATTTTATTCTTTTATCCACCACCAAAATTTTATCATCTGTTTCTTGTCCCATTATCAACCTTTCCTGAAAATTTAATCAAAATCTGTTCAGAACTTTTTGAGTTATTTTGCACACAAACAAACAAACAGACCAACGCTGGCGAAAACATAACCTCCTTGGCGGAGGTAATAAAAGTAAACACAAGACCTATGTACAGTTATGTGCATGATAAAGTCCTGTACTAAAATATGTATCAATGGTGATTAATCATGTTATAGGCAAGGGGCAAGAACACATTTTTCATATCAGTGTTTATTTATTTGGTGAGATCATTCAACAATATGATACACTCAATGCCACTCATGAAGCTCTGGAGATATCTTGTGAAAGCTGTCTTCATTTTCTTTCAGATGTCTGAAAAAATGAGAAGAAATAAGTCATAACAAAGCTGATGTGAAGCTTAACTCTATTGTCATAATTCAAACATTTAAATCCTCCATAATAACTAAAAAGTCACAATGAAATAATACAAAGTTTACATAACATGCATGATAATGGGTTGAATGATGTTCATTCAATCAACGAAAAAGCCTTAAAAATACACTTTAAGACATTTAATGAAAAGTGGAATATACTGTACTGTATCTTTAAGGACTCCTATACTCACTGCATCCATATAACCTGTTGATCCTGAGGATATCAATATGAGACATGTCTTCTCTCTGACCGATTGGCACAGAGGGATCAGGAATAGGAGTAATGGTGTCGGCTCCAAACTCAGATGCGAAGGCGGTCCTAAAGAGAGTGAAAAATTTAAATATATACTGATGGAAAAACTATCCTCATTTATTTCATTTTTAAAAAATGCAGGAATGTTTCAGTGTCATGCTAAATAGTTAAATTATTTTTTAAAAGAAGTGGTTCCTCTTTCTTTTAATGCCACCTGTACACATTAACATTTTATAGTTAGTTTATTGTAATTTGGCTTCACACCTAAGTGATAATATCCTCCTGAGACCCAAACTTTTGTGATGTATGCATTTCTGATTTCTCCTAGCTATTTGGGATCAGTAGGACCTGACAAGTATAAAAAAAACCTAAACATTGTCAACGATAATAAAGTCTCAGTGTCCTCAAACAAGACGATAATAAAGTCCCAACATCTTCAAACGAGTACTTCCTAATTGAAAGTGTCTCAGCTTGTTACTGTTGTCAAAATTGGTCAAACTTGTCGCCATATCAAACTACAAACATTATAAATCATAAATAAACAAGTTTCAACCATAAAATGTGATCAGGTTTTGGACCTTGTCCACTTTTGTGTCAGGGTCGGCTGCAGACTGACTTGGCAGAGATGGCTGCCATCTTCTTTTTACATGGATTAGTGTATTGTGCTCTTACTACCACTAGATGGCACAAAAAGTGTCCATGAACGAGGACAACAGGTCTGAGTTAAGTAGAATGAAGTATATGGTCCAGTACACCTAAAATATGATGTCCTCATATGAGGACGCAGGGTCTCATATGTCAGTGTTATACTAATAGCTTGTTGCACCGCCCCCAAGTAGCCAAAAAAAACCCCAAAAACAAACAAACAAAGAAAAAGGACACTTTTGCGGGACACTAACAACATGAAGAAACAAATTAACTGACTTAAATTTCTTGCAAACAATAGTGTTAATAACATGCAGAGACGTTACCTTCCATAATGCATAATAGAAGAATAGTCATACGGCGTGTTCAAGTTGTTGGTGTCCATTTTGTTGAAGTTGAAGACATATGCTGTAGAATAAAACATTAAATATGAAAATTAAAGTGTGCATTAATGTACCTCTAAGTTAGCTTTTAGCCTTGTTATGACAAAGTTGATGTATTTATTTTGCCCAGAGGTCCTGACAATCATGTTAATCAAAATCTGCGATTTTGCCGTACTACATGGTGTACATGTGTCTTGATTTTATATGATGCCGCTATGTCGCACTATGTGCCCAAAACAAATTTCCCGTTTGGGACAATAAAGTTTATCTCGTCTCATCTCATCTCGTCTCTCATCCCACTGTAGGGATTTCTGGCACAACCTCACCTACTTCCAAAATGTATCAGTTAGGGCTGTAACTCAGTGGTTCCCAACCACAACTTTTATGTTGTGCTTATTGGCCACATATGTAGTCTACAGCGTAGGGTCTGCCTAGAGCTGACGCACATTTATAAATCCCGCTTTAGAGCTCACCTGAAGAGACGTTCTCCCAGTTGATCCTGACATACTGGTCCCTGTCACTCCTAGCATGCTCATGGTGGAAGCCAAGCGCATGGAGGAGCTCATGCTGAACGATGCCATGTGCAAGACAGCCATACACGGACAAAGAAACCACCTGCTTCCCTCCGTCTCTGCCAATAGTTGACCAGCACCTGCAGACAAAGAGACAGCGGGCTTAAATCCTGACAGGCTGGTATGTTCATTACACTGATGATTACCTTTACTGCCCTGCACTCACCCAAGTTCACTCTCAATGCTGAGGTAGTCAGACTGGCCATGATGAGGAACAAAGCGAAGGTTTTCTGGTGGAAGCTTTCCATAGCTTTCCTGATTATGTCCTTCTCACTGTCATCTGAAAACAATTAACGCCAGTTAAAAGTTCAAATGTAAAATGGTCATGCTCATTTCCTTTGTCCAAAATCAACAAAAAATTCTCATGAATAAATTCCTGAGCCCTTACAGAAGTAATCGCTGAGGCTGTACGGCACTTCAACAAGTCCGTTGTAGGATTCATGCCATTCCTTTTCTTTGATAGAGCGACGTCACCTTCCACCAGATTTTGGCTGATGCCTGGAGTAAGACATATGTGGGCAGCATGTTGAACAGATGCACATCTTTATACACAGACATGAGCATTACGTGAGCAGGAGAGGATGCAGTGTACCTTTATTTGCCTCAAGAATTCTTGAGGTAATGTCTAAACGGTAAGGCTTCTTGGTCTGGAAACCTGAAATGAAAATATTTAGTTACTAAATATGAAAACCTATTAAAAGGATAGTGCACCCAAAAATGAAAATTCACCCATTATCTATTTACCCATATGCCGAGGGAGGTTCTGATGAAGTTTTAGAGTCCTCACAACACTTGCGGAGATCCAAGGGGAGAGGAGGTAGCAACACAACTCCACCTAATGGAGGCTGACGGAGCCCCAGATTCAAATGTCCAAAAACACATAATTGAAACCACAAAATATCTCCATACTGCTCGCACACGTGAGCGCGGCGCACAGAGAGGCAGTTAGAGCTACAGGCTACAATGACGCTAAAAACAGAGTTCAGATGACGTTTTTCCAAACAACTGTTTAAGTCAGGGATTCAGGACACTTGGATCACTACGGACGAGCAGTATGGAGATATTTTGTGGTTTCAATTATGTGTTTTTTGGACGTTTGAATCTGGGGCGCCGTCAGCCTCCATTAGGTGGAGTTGTGTTGCTACCCCCTCTCCCCTTGGATCTCCTCAAGAGATGTGAGGACTCTAAAACTTCACCTGAGCCTCCCTCGGCATATTGGTGTGTAGATAATGGCTAAATTTTCATTTTTGGGTGCACTATCCCTTTAAGCAGTAAATGTGTTAAACACCTGTGGTTAGAAAAATCAGTTACCGTCCTCCTGTGCTTGTGCCTGCAGAGACACAAAGTGAACAAGTGGTAAAAATTAACATTTTTATATTCAATTTTGACTTTAATACATTCATTTAGTGCCCTGGTGCACTGTTTGGGCATTATATACTCTGCTTATTTATGATAATGTGCCCTTGTCAGCTTGATTTATATGATCTAGTTTCACAAATCAGTTATTGCGTTACTTTTATGTTGTGCTTATTGGTTTGTTTGCTGCCTAATGTCTTTTAACCATAGTGTTTTCATCAATCCCTCTATGTTGAGTGCATGCCTCTAGTCAAAAGTCAACACATAGTTTGAAAATGCATGTGTGTTAGTCCAAAAACCACACCTTGCTATAAGCAGAGTTTTCGGGTGACTGATTGATTCATTGATTTTTTATTTTGTGTCATGCACACTTACACGTGCCCAACCCTCATGGGTTTATGAGACACCAGTACAATGATGTTGCAGTAACAATGCAAAGTACATGTTATTTAACTGCTCAGTCCAGAAACAGAATTCTCTGCCGTCTATCCCAGGCCTGGCAAAGAAATCCAACCCTGAAAAAGGTTCCCCTTCTAAAACAAAACTTTTTTTCATTTAACTTTTTTCATGATCATCTGACCAAAAGAAATCAACATAGATAATCTCGTCATGGGAGATGTTGTATGTCGTATTGTGAGTTCCTGGTAGTTGTTAGAATGATTAAAGCTGGTTCACTGGCCTATAAAGCCGTAAATGGCCATTTAGGTTTTTCTTAAAATAGATGAGAACTGGTTGAGGTCATTGTTTCACTGAGTTCACAGCTCTGAATGCTTGGAACAATCTGCTGTCTCTCAAGATATTTAAACTTATTCCACTTGTTATATTCTTTCTTTTAAAGTGGAAACAATAGTGT